CTGAAGAAGCCATTGGTACTTGATAGACCAGAAAATGGACTTTACAAGCTCTTTCAACTTCCTGCAACAACCTTCTCTTGTGATTCTCCTACTTCCAGTATCATTCCTTGTTCCATTCCTTGTAATGTTTCTCCAATTGAATGTTTCAATGTTTTTAGTATTGATGCTAATATGTTTTATGATACACATGTACATACTGATCATGCACTATTAAATAAAGTCAATAAAGAGGATGTTGTTTGGCATTATAGACTTGGTCACTTGCCTTTTTCTAAGATGAAGTGTATTTCTGATTGTAATACCAAACTATCTTCTAAACAATCTTTTACTTGGCCTGTTTGTCCTCTGGCTAAACAAACCGGATTACCATTCCCTGATAGTTCAATACAAACTGTTGCACCATTTCAATTAATCCACATTGATACCTGGGGTCCCTACTATGCCCCTACTTATGATGGATCAAAATATTTCTTGACCACTGTTGATGACTATACTGGAGCTACTTGGACCCACTTACTGGGTACCAAGAGCAATGCTTTTGACATCTTAAAAGCTTTTATTTACATGGTAGAAACCCACTTTCATTATAAGGTACAAACTGTGATGAGTGATAATGCATTGGAGTTAGGGTCTAGTTTATCTGGATCTCAATTTTTCTATGCTAAAGGCATTATGCATCAAACTTTTTGTCTACACACCACAACAAAATGGAGTGGTGGAAAGAAAATTTAGGCATTTGCTTGAAATTGCTAGGGCCTTACTCTTTCAATCCCACCTACCTATTAAATTTTGGGGAGATTATATCTTGACTGCCACTTATTTGATCAATAGGTTCCCCTCTCCCTTATTAAATCACCAAAGCCCTTATGAACTTTTATATGGTAAACCTCCCAGTTATTCCCACCTTAGGGCATTTGGCTGTCTTTGCTACTCTACTGTTCCTAAAACACATAAGGACAAGTTTCAGCCTAGAGCTTTTCCTTGTGTTTTCTTGGGGTACCCTTTTGCTAAGAAAGACTACAAATTATATAACTTGGAAATTAACTCTTGTCTTGTATCTAGAGATGTTGTTTTTCATGAGCACATTTTCCCATTTCTTCAGTTTTCTTCTGGTGCTCCCAGCATTTGTCCTTTTCCTTTTTCTGCATGTTCTCATGACTTCCCCTCTACTTCATCTTATGTTCCTTCCCATCCCACATGTTCAACTGGTTTTCCCTTACTTGCTTCTATTTCTCCTTCTTCACCTCCTACTTATTCTGGTTCTCCCTTACTTACTCCTGATTCTCCTATATCTCCCTCTTCATCATCTTCTATCTCATCAGCTTCTGCTTCTTCACCTGTTTCTGTTCTTTCCTCTTCTCCTCCTATACCTCCTTGTCCTCCTTATCTAACTACACTCAGAAGATCTACTAGGGTGCATAAGCAGCCCTCTTATCTTCAGAGTTATGTCTGTCACTCTTCATCCTTAGACTCCTGTTCTGTTTCCTCTACTTCTCATTTTAGTTAGCAGCATGTTCCTGAGCCTTTCACTTATTCTTAGGCAGCTCTTGTCCCTGAGTGGCATGATGAAATGAAGAAAGAGTTTGAGGCTTTGGAAGCCAAACAAACTTGGAAAATTGTTGAATTGCCCCATGGTAAGAAATCCATAGGATACAAATGGGTGTACAAGGTTAAATATAAAGTTGATGGCACCATCGAGAGGTACAAAGCTAGGTTGGTTGTTAGGGGTGATACTCAGGTTAAGAGGGTTAATTTTTATGAAACTTTCTTTTCTGTTATGAAAATGTCTACTGTTAAGACTCTTATTGATGTAGCAGTTAAAAGGAAATGGCCTTTTTTTCAACTAGATGTCAATAATGCATTTTTACATGGTGATTTGGTTGAGGAAGTGTATATGAAACTTCCTCCTGGTTTATCTATTCCCTCCACCTCTTCATGTGCTACCTTAGTGTGTAAGTTACAGAAATCTCTCTATGGGCTCAGGCAAGCTTCCAGGCAGTGGTATGCCAAACTTTTCCATGCTTTACAGTCTAGAGGTTATGCTCACTCCTTAAATGATTACTCTTTGTTTACTAGAGGGTCAGGGGATTCTCTAGTTATCTTGGTTGTTTATGTGGATGACATAGTTCTTACTGGACTGATTTAGAAGAAATTTATGCTCTGAAAGATTTCTTGCATGATAAGTTCAAAATCAAAGACTTAGGATTGTTGAATTACTTTCTTGGTATTGAGGTTCTGTTCATTCCATCTGATATCTTACTCCATCAGAGAAAGTTCCTTCGTGATCTCCTAAGAGAATTTCATTCCGATGTCTCTTCTCGTGTGGTTTGGCCTCTTAAGCTACATGACAAATTGAGGGCTAATGTGGGTGATCCTTTACCCAGTCTGGAGTTGTATAGGAGTTTGATTGGTAAGTTGAATTTTTTAACACATACCAGGCTAGATTTGTCATTTGCTGTACAATATTTGAGCCAATTCATGCAGCATCCTTGTGTTCCTCATATGAAAGCTGCCATGCACCTCTTGAGGTACTTGAAAAGGGACTTCTGATTTTGGGTTGTTCTTCAACAACTCCTCTGATCTTTCTCTTCAAGTTTACTGTGATAATGATTGGGGTTCTTGTCCTGATAGTAGACAATCAGTGACTGATTTTTGCCTTATATTGGGTGGCAGTTTGGTCAGCTAGAAATCCAAGAAATAACCTGTTGTATCCTTGTCCTCAGCTGAAGCTGAGTATAGGTCCTTGAGCAAAGCTGTGGCTGAGGTTACCTGGCTCTCTAGACTCTTATCTGATTTTGGGCTTACTAATATCTCTTCTATACATGTTCACTGTGATAACCAGGCTGCCATCTACATTGCTAAGAATCTTGTTTTTCATGAGCGGACCAATCATATAGAGTTGGATTGTCGCTTTGTGCGCACCAAGCTGGGTGATGGCCTGATCTCTCTATTGCACACTTCCAACTCTACTCAAATGGCTGATGTTCTCACCAAACCTCTACCTGGGGCAGTCCATCATCTACATATCAGCAAGTTGGGTGTGTTACCACCCTCCAACTTGGGGGGGGGGGGGAGTAAGTTCTTTTAAAATATTTGGCAATTTGTAAAGTTTTTT